GATACCACTGGGAAGACCAAGGCATAGGTGGGTGGATAATATTAAAATGTATCTTAGAGAGACAGGATGAGATGGTATGGATTGGATTGATCTGGCTGAGGAGGGGGACTTGTGAACACGATAATGAACCTTCGGCTTCCATAAAATGCTGGGAAATTCTTGACTAGCTGGAGAATTGGCGGCTCCTCAAGAGGGGCTCAACTCCACGAGTATGAGATACACATAAGGGCACAACAATAAAACAGGAAATATGCAGTGAGTCAAATCATCACCACCAGTGCAGATCGTTACGGCATTAGAAAATGACTGCAGATTCTGTTTTCAACATAGGATGGGAAGCAAATAACAGCAATGGAGGTATCATTAAACACACACAACTTTTTTCTACCACAGTATAATGTGCATTTGGAAAAATTTTGGACACACAAAAGTGTGGATACATTAAGAAGGGATCGAACTGGCTCACTGCTGGGACAATGGTGGACTTTTATGAAATTCAAGGGCTCATTAATGGTAGAAATCAATTGTTCAAGGATGATTCCTGTATCACTGAGTTGACAGACACACATAATTGCACTAGCAGCTCAGAAAACCATGAATGGCATTTTTGATGATGTATTCTTCACACATTCAAGATTACAATACACATAAAAACCATCTTCCAAGATGTCCTACGTGATGCACGATGCAAGTATAACTGTCTCTAAACTTTGAACTACTATACAAAAAAAAATTCACATTTTAAAGTTTTGTGTTCCACACAGGTGCATTTGACCTCTGATTACTCGGTTTAAAAAACATTTCTACTTCACGTTTAATTTAAAGCAGCCTTCAACTTACGGTACTGAGAGGAATATGAAAATAAACATGATGTAAAAGCAAATCATATTATTACAAATTTCCTGCTATTCTGTATCCTTTTGTCTGTCGGTTATTCTGCTTACAAACTTAATTTCATGGATAATATTAATAATGATAATAATAATAAAACATTATGGTCATCTGGTCTGATCAAAAGACACTTTCAATTAATACTGACCACAAGAAATACGTACTACAAAACGTTGAAATACAAAGCACAGCCTCTACAAAACAACCTCCCATAAAAATATAGTCAGTACTTTCTGGTCATCTGAATTTCACTCATCTATAACTGTACAAAGTCGTCCTACAACCACAATTTAACGCCAACTTATTTCAATTAAGAAAACCTGGAATGCATAAAATTCTACGTTTTAAAATTAATGCTTTACCTTCAACAGTTCTATTCACTTACATGTCCCTATAATGTGTACCCCGCATTTTCACACACAACTGTACCATGAATGAAACTTTTGAAGTATTCAGGTCATATCTCAGTACTAAACATCAGTTTCTACACCTGAACATATTTCCTACAGCAAATGGAAGACACATCTGTAAATGATATAAAGCAATTAGCTGTCCTGTTGTAACAGTTTCTTTCTGTTATGTATTACTTGTGCTCCCTCCTGCACACACAAAAATTTAATTAAAAAATTCCACACTGTTGTCAGCCTAACAAATCTTACATCACCCAGCACAATGAGTTATGCAAATACAAATAAAGTAATCAGTCATAAGACTAATTAATACGTGTAGCACACTAAGAGACTTAAATCACAGACATGTGGCAAGGTAACACGTTTATGTAACCAGATATGAAAACACAGCCATACACAAAGTGAAAGCAAGCTTACCATTCTTTCTCTAACCATCCTCCAGACAACGAATTCCCTACTGCAAAGCTTGGGGCAAATATGGATCTTTGAAACTTGGCTTATAATTATGAAGGCAATCAGATGTAATGACTTCCAGCATTAACTATTTCCATCTAATGAGAAAAAAACATATATATCCCTCCCCCCCAATAATGCTACTTATTAACTGGAAAGATGTACAACTGATCAGTTGAACTAGCACTATCAGGCAAATACTGAAAATATCACCCAACTTGGCAAAGAAGGCAGTTACACCTATCACCCAACATACCAGAGAGAGCAATTACAGTGGTCACAACTACATTAACTTGTCCAATGCAATCCTCAACAGTTTGGGCCTAACCCAATTCTAAAACACAGGCAGAGTTCAGACAACACGAATTATTAAAACCTGACCTCAATTAATTAAATATTAAGCAAAACAGAATAATGTCACTTTAAAACCCAAAATAAAACTTCACCATGGCCAAGATAATGTTAATGATCACAAATATTAAGTATTACAAATGCTATTTTAATTATATTACGCATTGTAAAAGAATCAATTTCTGACTAAAGCAGGTGCTTAAGGCCGCGCCATAGCTCAAGCGGTTGGTCGCTGGCTTCCCATCGCGGCGGTCCGGGTTCGATCCCGAGTCTGGTCAAGTGGGATTTGTGGTGGACAAAGTGGCGTTGGGGCAGGTTTTCTCCGAGTACTTCCGTTTCCCCTGCCAATCTTCATTCCAGCAATTGCTTCACAATCAACATCACCTATCATCTGGGGCTGGTACAATAGGCCAGAAGTTGCCGCAGTACAAGGAACTTAGTCCCACCCCACTAGCAATAAAAAAAAAGCAGGTGCTTGATATGGTCGAATAGTAATGTCCCACAGAATAAGCCTTCTAGAGGCAAGACAATAAAATACATTACCTTTGAAGGTCAAATGCTACACTGGCGAATTTATATATAAAATTACAAAATACAAAACTTCGCGAATGCACCATACAAATCCAATTTCTATAATAAATGTCAATTTATGCATAAAGGCTACGCTGACAGAAATAAGAAACTTCTGAATCCAATATCAACGAAAAATTACTCTTCGGCCAAATAAAATTACACATTACCCTAAAGGCTCCCTAAAGAAGTGGATAAATATAATTAAAAAATTATCTAAATCAGTCTTCCTACATCAACAAGATATGTGAGGCCGCGTCTAGGGTCCAGTTTACCAACAAGGCATAGGAAAGCCGGCGGGCAAAACATGGTTCGCATTTTAAACCAGCCACTTCCTACAGCTTGAAACGACCAGTGGCCAAGCGTAAACGCCGACTCTTTTGAGTAAACATCCTACTTCTCTGTGAGTTCTAGTATTTAATGATAATACCATATTGTGCGTTTCATAACAAAATGTGGAAATGGGTCACCCGGCAAGTTTCTCTTGAAGGTATTGATCCAGAATTACTGCCCTTACCTTGTAACTTGACAGAAACAAAGACTGGCCACGCTGCTTTGTAGTTCCAACGTCTGGTTTTGCCTACTGAAACTTTAGTCACTATATTTCAACACCCACACTTTATAAACAGTCCACGAACACAAATGTTTTGAACTGCAAGGATCTGACTTCACTAACGAGAGAATTTCAGTTTCAAACACATTAATTTCAAAAGAAAATACACCAAACGCGAGGGAACAAATCACTCTCCCCACTTCACTAAAATGGTGTCCAATCTCGCAAATTCTCGTGCAAAGATCAACAAACGAGACTTCACGAGATCCCAACCCTTCAACTTTGGTTATGTCCTGTCCATGACTACCACTGCTTGGAAAGTAATCGTTTCAACCTGAAACAACTCATGCGACATCTAAACACAGAAAATAGAAACTAAAACTATATGCTTACATTCGGTAGTTTTCGAAGTAGGTCGCTGCAAATAGAGAAAGACTTCATATTCACATAAAATTTTCCGAACGGCTATACCAAGTGACATCTCTAATTCATGATTAGAAGTATAAGCAGAGAATCAATATAAAGTGGGCCCCATATATCTACATCGAACCAAGTCATTGGATCAGCTGAACGATGGACAGTATTTTGTGATGAATGTTGTAAGGTGAAATTAATTGACGTTTCAAAGTGTAGCAGACATTACTGACATTAATTACTTTAGCGTACCAAAACGCTGAACTAGAATGGCAGATGTCAGATCACTAGAGTATCCAACCTTGAAGGTACCACAGCATAAATATTGTTTCTTGCATACAAGGGCATTATGTTCTGTATGTATAGTCTTACCCAAAAAATAGGTCCGGATCGTCCGTATTACGTACATTTCTGTTTAATAAAGTTATAACCAAGTGTTGTATAAAATACTATACATATGTCACAAATGAGTGATTAAATTATTACATAATATTTATATGCATAATTCTTTATAATTGTTTAACTGGTTGGTAATTTTTATTCAAAATTTAGTTGCATGATTGCACAGTATTCATGGTTGGTATTTCAATAGGTTCCATATGAGCTACTGAACAAGAAGTTCAGAGCAGCTCAGAAGCATGTGGACAGAGAAGTATCTCATGTGCAGGCAGCTGCACTAGAACTTGAGCGTGTACTCCATGGGGATGTGGTAGGGGCAAGTGATATTAGCCGCTTACTTGGTGGAATGGTTGAAAAACTACAAGTTCTTAAACGTAAGGTATGTAGAAGTGTTTGATATGTGCATGAAACTGACTTGATAACAGTGAAGAATGTTTATCATTTTATTTTTTGCTCTGTTCATGCATACATATTAGAGTAACTACCTCCATGGAGCTGAATCCTTCTTCAAGAGCCAAATCCCAGCATTTTATGGAACCTGAAGGGTCAATAATGTGTTTACAAGAGCCTGTCACTGACCCCTATCCCAAGCCAGATGAATGCATTCTACATTGTTCTCTTTCATTTAAGGTTCATTATTGTATTGCCCAGCAGGGAGAGTGCAGACATTGTAGCGACTGGCTATGGGATAGATGACTGAGGAGTCAGGGTTCAAGCCCAGTAGGGTCAATAATTTTCTCTTCTTGACAGTGTCCATACTGGCCCTGGGGCCCACCCAGTCTCCTGTCCGATGGGTACAGGGGACTCTTTCCCCAGAGGTAAAGCAGCTGGAGCATGAAGCTAACCACTCACCTCCAACTAGTGCCAAGGTCAAGAAAACATGGATCTGTACATCCACTCCCCCGTATGTCTTCATGGCATAGTGCTTACTTAGTTAGACACAGGGACAACTTTACTTACTTTACTTTTTGTTATATTACCCTCCCATCTGCATCTAGGTGTTCCTGGTAGTCTCCTTCCTTGAGATTTGCCTACCAGAACTTCTCTTCTTTATATTTGTGTTCATATGCCCTACAAATGCGGATTCGGCAGAACAAGAATCACTGATCAAGACTCCTTGACTTCATGAACTGTAAACAGTTTTGAAGAAGTTAATGCTCAGAGTCAAGAGGAAAGATGAATTATTGTCAATGATATAGCCAAGAAGTTGGAAATCAGCCATAGATCTGCGTGTTCCATTGTGCACAACAGCCTTGGGTGTCACAAAATTTGTGCATGGTGGATACAAAACTAGCTTACAGCACAAACAAACATTTGTGGAAACATTAATTCAGTTTTTGTAGAATGCCACGAAGAAGGAAAGGCTTATCCATGACTGATAATCAAAGCTGATTAAATGTGGATGCAACACAATGAACCTGTGCAAACATCAGAGCATGGAGTGGAAACACATCATTGCTGAAGTCAATGCTATTCGGTAGTGTGCCTTCTGCTGGCAGAATGATGTTGATGCCATGTTGCGACATTACTGGGTCCATCCCAAGTCATGATCAGGATTGTGGACAGACATTCAATAGTGCACAGTATTACACTGTGCTTTAGGAGGAGTTGCAGTCTGCTGTTCACAGTAAGTGCAAAGGAATGCTGTCAAAAAGAATTATTTTGCATTATGTTAAAATTATTTTAAAACTGAAATTTGAGCTTCTCGCTCACCCAATGTACAGTCCTCAGATCTTGTTCCATGCAGTTACCATATTTTTGGAGTGCTCAGAAATGTGTTATGTGGATGCCAGTTTGCGAACAATGAAGAGGTCGAGGATGTGATGCAAATGTGTCTTCATGCGCAGCCAAAAACATTCTTTGGAGATGGCATCAAGAAGTTCATGGATCATAGTATTATTATTTTTTTTATTGTTAGTGGGGTGGGACTAAGTCCCTTGTACTGCGGCCACTTCTGGCCTATTGTACCAGCCCCAGATGATAGGTGAGGGTGATTGTGGAGCAATTGGTGGAATGCAGATTGGCAGGGGAAACTGAAGTACTTGGAGAAAACCTGCCGCAACGCCACTTTGTCCACCACAAATCCCACTTGAGCAGACCCGGGATCGAGCCCGGGCCGCCGCGGTGTGAAGCCAGCAGCTAACCACTTGAGCTATGGCGCAGCCAAATGGATCATAGTAACAAATGTGTAGAGAAGCCAGAAAGTTATATTGAAGAATGAATATACATTTATTCTTCTTTACCTTTGGTACAATAAAGAAAAAATATATTACCTGTAACTTTATAATACACCTCGTATGTATGTGAGGAACATGGAGACAATCTTATGTGTTCTGAATTAGTTGTGTTTCAACATTATTTACCTTGTCGCAGATTTTGCAGTACCTTTGACCTGTTCTGATTTAAGGCTGACGAAAGCATCTCTGAGGAACTGGAGGCAGCGTATGTGTGTAAGCGTCGCTTGGAGCACTTGAGGGAACATGCCGGTTCTAATGGGCCTGGTGTTGGTGGTTCCACCACAGGGGCAGTGAATCTCTGGAGGAAGCGTCGACTAGACCGCATGTTGGTGGAATACTTTCTGCGCCGAGGTTACTATGGGGCAGCTACACGCCTTGCTCATCGTTCCGATCTTCGTGACCTCACAAACATTGGTACAGATGATGTGCTGATGGTGAATTTATAAGTATATTAAACCAGCTGCAAAGTTCATTAAGTAATGACAAACTTTATTTATAGTGTTTGTCTTCTGCTATGATTTGTGTTTATCCAGGACTGACTGAATTAAAATAGTGCACTGCAATGAATCGGATTATTCTATAATTCATTTTATAAAATAAATGTGCCATAAGTTTGCCAAGTGCCAACACAGCATTTATATTGTATGGTTTGTTACAGATGTCTTCTTGATTTCCCGTGAGGTTGAGCAATCACTTGCACAACATGAGACCTCTAAGTGCCTTGAATGGTGCTATGATAATCGCTCAAAGCTGCGTAAGTTGAAGTCCACCATGGAGTTCAACTTGCGAATTCAAGAATTTGTTGAGTTGGTGAAAGCAGATAAACGCATGGATGCTGTAAGGTTTGTTAATCCGTAGTATTAATTTCCCCAAAATTTTCTTCCTTGTATTTCTGTAAAAAAAAACTCATTTCCAGAATTAAACTTATAATGAATCTTCAGTGGTCTGAAGCCACTGTTACCATTGTAACTAACAATATACAGTGGAACCTCGCTTAACGAGCACCTCTCATAACGAGTAATTCGCATAACGAGCAAAAGAAATTGTAAAAAAAATGACTTGCTTAACGAGCAACATTTCGCATAACGAGTGACAAGAGGGGAAGTCCCAGATTGTGCACTTGCTACATCAGTCTGTGTTTAGCACTCGTTCTGTTAGCATCTTACAGTCGCTTGTGATCACACATTTTTCCAAACTTTTGTTCAGGCATATTATTTGTGATTTTTTTTTGTGCATAGTTTAATAACCCTTGCAAAAATGTCCCCAAAGAAAAAGCCTCAAAAAGACAGCCATTAGAGAATAAAAATAACCATAGAAATGAAACATAAAATCATTGAAAAGTGAGAACAAGGTGTGAGCGTGGCTGATCTAGCACGCACATACAATCGGTCTACATCAACGATTTGCATGATTTGGAGTTGCATTGTGTTTCACAGCAAGAAGTTGTGGAGGAGAGTTTGTCAGAGGAGGAGGAGGAGGTAACAGCAAAGCAAAAATCTTCTGGCACAATAACAGAAATGCTGAAAGCATGGGAAACTGTTGCATCATACAATGAGAAGCATCACCCTAATAAGGCAGTGGCTATACGCACTACAAATTTATTTAATGATAATGCTATGTCGCATTTTCACCAAATTTTGAAGAGTCGGCAAAGACAAATGTTTCTAGACAGCTTTCTAGTAAAAAAGAATTAGATATGTATCATAAATAATAAACTAATTATTTTGATTTTTTTTTTTCTGCAAATCGAATTCGCATTCCAGGTTGGTTCATTCCGCATAGAAGAAAACAATGTATATATAATTTTCTTTGAATAAACGTTACACATTAAATTTTTTTAGTATTTTTTTCGGCATGGAACACATTATCGTATTTTACATTAATTTATATGGGAAAAATTGTTTCACATTACGAGTAAGATTCTGGAACGAATTATGCTCATTAAGTGAGGTTCCACTGTATATTTAAGCCACTGTTGCTATGGTAATCAAGTTTACATTTTTAAACCACTCTCATCATGGTAACCAAAATTATGAATTTGAGGCAGTATCACTGTTAAGGTTATTTAAGCTACTGACACTGTATTGTGGTCATGGGTCTTTCAGGGCCCAAAATCAAGAATAACCATGCTGGCAAAGCCAGCAGCATATCACCAGACCAGACCAACAAAGGTCATATATTACTGTTACCATAGTAACCATTAAGATGGATATCTGAAAGCTTACTGCACAGTAGAGACATGTTATCATAAGAAGTGAAACTGTCAAAGTGTGAATTTCCAAATTTGAAATTTTGAAGACCGGGTTGGTGTTTATCCATTTATAAAATAGGCAGGCATCTATAGTTATCCTTGCGAACCTAATATACCGATACTCTTGAAAAAAATATTGCAATGATATTTTCTTTTGGTCCAGTAAAGAACTGACCTGCATTGTGCCATAATATCTGCCCATTTTCTGTCTAACTTTTCAGCAGATTTTTTTTTTTTTTTTTTGGCATCACAACTGTTTTGTGCAGACCACAACAAAGTTTATGAAGATCTATGTTCCATGGTAACTTGGCATCTGGAATTTGTGAAGCCCTGCTCCTATTGTCACAAAAATTAGGAGTGAATGATTATCCACCAGTTACTTTTTACAGGCATGCCAGAAAGTATTTCACCATCTTTGAAGATGAACAACTGCAAGATGTCCAACACTGTATGGCTCTGCTAGCGTTCCCTACAAATACAGGTATCTCATTCTCTCAGCAGCTAGTAACATCATAAAGGTAAAGTTGTCCCTTTGCTTAATTAGCACTGTCCCATGAAATGTATTGAGGAGTGGTGGTATAGCTCCATTCTCAACCTCAGCACTAGATGGGGATGAGGGGTAAGCTTCACGCTCCTGTCGTTTACCCCTGGGGAAAGAACCCCAAGTACCCATTGGATAGGAGGCTGGGTGGGCCCAAGAGCCAGTCTGGATGCTATGGAGAATGGCTTCTGAGGATTGAACCCTAGCTGTCCAGCCTGTAGCCCATCGTTATACCAGCTGAGCTATCATAGCTCCTCAGCTCATAACATCATTGAGAACTTATCTAATAGATGTTTGATAAGTATTTGTTTTGTGGTTACATGTCAAGCATACCAAATTTGAAGACTTACCATGGCCTGCTGTATAAGATGATGGGTTCTTCATTGAAAATAGCCCTAAAATTAACTGTCTGTTATGTATCGGGAAGTAACAATGAAAACATATAAGAATTACAGTCAGCTTTCTTTCATTTTGTTCATTATGTAAGGTAGATTTCTTCTGTTCATTTACAAATATCATTATAATTAATAAATGTGTAGTAATTTCTCTTAGTAAATTATTGTGTGATTTATACATTGAAAAATATGGCAGTTAAGGAAGTCTGCATTGAAAAGAAAGATGAATTGTAGTGTCACATATGAGGGGTTCTGCATTGGATAATTGGATTTATTCGCACTTCTGTTACAATTACAATCAACTATAACAGCTTAATGAATGACTGTCTATAAGAGTCACTCCATTCCTTACTGGACTTCTTCTCTTCCACTGTGACTTTGCTCTGATTTACAAATCGGTCACTTCTTCAGCTTCCATTGTCCACTGGTTAACACTCCACAGCAGAACACTCGACTTATCATGAATTCTCTTATGACTGAATCATTGCCCTCCCTTATGAATGCTGAATGATTGAAATCTCCTGAACCGAACTAACTTCCAGGCAAACCAAATATGTCACCATGTTTTACAGTTCCTCTGTAATTCTGTTGCCGCGGAAACGTGTGTTACCGAGCTGTTCGCTAGCATTGGACTTCTGAATCTGTTCATTGCTGTGAGAATGCGTTTGGAGAGCCATTGGCTAGCAATGGACTTCACCTATGGCTCCACTATTCCGGCCTTCAGGGTCATGTCACAGTAGGTTATCTAACAATGGTGTATGAACTGCAGCTGTATTTAGCACTGAATGTGAGAGAATGGTTGAGAATAATCATGCAAATCTTGGTTGGGATGGTCAGTGTCTTGACCAGGATCTGAAAGGAACAAATTTCAAATACGTTAGAAGCAGTACTGCTTAAGCAACACTTTGCAGTAAGTTACCATATATTGCTGGACTGATATTCTGATGCAGAGGGGGAGGCCAGATTGTCATATTTTAGATGATGAACTACAGTGTAAACATTTTAATGAACTGTATATTAAAATCAGATGTACAATATTGCCAACATAAACTGTTTATAATAGAATTTCATCTCTGAACAAAAGTGGAGTATGCTCATGTGTATGTTGTGAAAGCAGTGAAGGAATGTCTTGTCATTCATCATCTCATCTGACAGAACTGTCGCCATACAAAGAACTGCTGGATGACAGCCGCTGGGAGCGTCTGATAGAACAGTTTCGCCAAGACAATTATCGCCTGTTTCAACTTGCCTCGCAGTCTGTCTTCACTGTTGCTCTTCAGGCTGGTCTTTCAGCTTTGAAGACACCATATCCTTTTACCATACAAACAAAAAGCTAGAAATAAAATTTCAGTCTATTAGCTGTTTAAATAAATGCACTCTCCAATGTCTCCATTAACTCACCTGTGGCCAATAGGTGACTCTTATTTTGGAAACCCTGATCATATTATATTCCTGATTATTTCATAATTTTGTTCCCTCTTCATAAATTCTGTTCTTCACGTAATGATCCATTGTGTGGAAATATTCCTTAACAGTTTTCACTCAGTGTTACAGCAATTCTCGTGACAGCCGCAACCCAAGCTGTCCAGTGTGTCAGGATTCTTTCAATGAGCTTGCACAGCCACTGCCATTTGCTCACTGTTCGCAGTCGAGGCTGGTGTGTGCTATCTCAGGCCTCCCTCTCAATGAACACAACCTACCAATGATGCTGCCTAACGGATATGTATATGGGGAACAGGTACGATTTAATGCAACAAAAATGGAAAGGTGTGCTCCAAGTGAGTGCATATCTTTTCTGAGTGTGTACCTTGTTATTTGCATGTTCATTAATGGCATTTGCATTTTCTTTTGTAGTTAATTTGGCTTAGAGATATTACAGTGCAAATACAGGTAGTTAAGAAATTGGTGGAATCCTTTATGAAAATCAACAGTAATATTTGACATTTTCCATGCCTAGCTACATGCCCGCATGATAGAATTCTTAATTTCACCAACTTTTCTTGTATTTGTTCCTTAATGTTGTGTATTATTCTGCTTTTCAAAAACAGGCAAGTTATCTCCAGTTCTCATTGTTTCAGGCACTGGAGCAGATGGCTCTTGAGAACAATGGTCAGGTCATTTGCCCCAAAACAAAGGAGATTTATCCATTCAAGAAACTTGAGAAGGTGTTTGTTATGTAAATATTGTACAAGTTACCAGTCATACAAAGTTCCAGAAGGACATTGTATTTTCTTCCACAGTCATCTTTTCTGAATGACACATATATCTTTAAGTGCTGCTGATATATTTTTGACACTTTCACATGTGTTTAGTATCTACATCCGACTGTAAAGGAAAAATTTGACTTTATGCCATTTATAATTAAATATAATAAAAAAATTCTTAGTTTAAATATTACATGTATTGTATCATACTGTAGATTATATATTAGATGATGTATATTAACACTGGATGTCCAGACATTTTGTTGTGAAAATATATTTTGATGAAGTGCAATGAGATAATGTATTTCTCTTGATGTATAAAGTTAAACCTGGATTTAACAGAAACGTCTTAGTATCACAACATCCCTGTATGCTGAGGGTGTGAAGTATAGACTAATATAAGAATTCTGAGATTTGAAGTCCTCACAGTGGTGAACATGAAGATTATAGTCTTCTGGAGTGACATCGTGCCGTTTGGTAGACAGGTACCAACACTCCTGGGATGTGATGCCATGTGCCTGTCAGCACATTCCTCTGAAACATTTGTATCTACCTACCAAATCCCAGTGTCACATATGAGACCATAATCTTAAGAAATCATCTCTACAAGGCTTCAAGATTCTCACAGCAGTTGTTATGAAGAGTTCTGTCTTCAGGGATATAACACATGTAGTCCACTGAAAGTCAAACATTTGGAGGAACATGTCACCTCCATCTTCAGTGTCGAAGAATAAGCTAAGCAAGAAACCACCCTGCCACTTGCTTTCATGCTGGTTTCTTGCTTGGCTTATTCTTCAACCCTGAAGATGGGTTCACTCTCAACACCCTACATGGCATTATATCTCAGAAGACGGAACTTTTCATCTCTAAAAAAGTGCAAAGGTTATATGGCAACAAGTAGATAATTGTAATGAACTGGAAAGGATGTAAAGTGGAGTGTGGCCTATTTTAACCCTTTACAAGGCAAAATTATAATACAGTATTTTAAAAATTAGTTCTTAAATCCCAGAATACACATGCATTACAAAGATTAGTCACGCAGAATTACTGGGTTTTTGGGCTTTCTCCATCGTCCGGAAATCTAGGTAATGGAGGTAACGGTTTCGGAAACTGGATCTGTTTCCATCTTCAGGTGAGAAAGGAAGACACCTACTCAGTTGGGCCCCTTAGAAAGAGCTAATCTCAATCACTGGACCATTGCCAGAACCCTTTAGAATTTAAAGGTCAGTCAGTTAATGACATTTACGGAAACAATTCCTGTTCTGAGAATCAAGCGAACCACACAAACTTGGGAGGTGAAATATTGAGTTATTTAACATTAAATCAAACAATACACACAGTTATTGCTTCCTTATAAAGGGTTAAGGTACTACTCCAGGCCTCCCAAATTTGAAAGGGTACCAGTCACTTAACCACGAGTTTTTGGCCAGGAAAATGGTACAAGAAACATAAAGACTTTTAAGTTCCATCACTGACCATGTAAATACAAGTGATGACACATTATGCAAGTCACCAAGTTAGTGTAAATGTGGCAAATATGTTCTAGAAACAAATAATGAGATACTCTAATTTATTAATAAAAAGACATTTCTAAGAAATCATAATAGTCATACAGTTATGCTTAAACATGCATGTTAATGCTAAATATTTCATGCATATTTTTTTTTAACAATTTCAGTATACCTGAATAATTCTTCATGTACATCCAAACTCTTTGATTATAACTTACACAGTTTAAGCATGCAAATCACTTTCACAGTATTCCAAAAAAATAACTGCATGAAATAGCCATTCCAGTCTTATTTCATATTAGACCTAAATCCTACAGTGCTTTCAAAAACCACCTTATAAACATTAACCTAAGTTACTGTATTCATTAACAAAGTACTTGTACTGACTGTCTCGCCTACATTTCAATGCACATTGGATATCCAAATCTACATGACCTGTACACATTTACAAATGATTGCAACTGAACTCATTGTAAATAAAAGCATTCAGAAACTATAATATATATATTAAAACACTGAATTACATAAATGACTCCAGAATACAGCATAGCAGTTCTGAACAAGGGTCACATGTACACCCTAGTTTTAGCTGCACTGAAACCCCTAGTTATATAAAAAGGGGGTTATACTAAGACTACAAAAAGAAGTCCAATGGGCATAGTTAATAACATTCAATGCATCCCTCTCTCTGCTATTAATTTATTTTTACTGGTTATTTTATGACACTTCAGTATCTGATGAATGAATGAATGTATAAGGGGTGGGCCTTCTCGGCCCTTGCACCGTGACCTACAGTCATTTCAGTATCTAGATTGTACAGTATTGAATTGTAGGATGACTGATGAATAATGGACTGAAAGTGATGAAAAAGGAAGCAGTCATAACTGTACCAAGGCATTGTCCCAGCATTTACATGGTAGAACTAAGGAAAACTACAAAAAACTTGAGTCATAATGGCCACTGTCTCAACCAAGATTCAAACCGAGTAACTGCCAAGTACAAGTAATCTAGAGCAGTGTTTCCCAACCACTGGGCCTGAGTAACTGCCAAGTACAAGTAATCTAGAGCAGTGTTTCCCAACCACTGGGCCTGAGTAACTGCCAAGTACAAGTAATCTAGAGCAGTGTTTCCCAACCACTGGGCCTGAGTAACTGCCAAGTACAAGTAATCTAGAGCAGTGTTTCCCAACCACTGGGCCTGAGTAACTGCCAAGTACAAGTAATCTAGAGCAGTGTTTCCCAACCACTGGGCCTGAGTAACTGCCAAGTACAAGTAATCTAGAGCAGTGTTTCCCAACCACTGGGCCTGAGTAACTGCCAAGTACAAGTAATCTAGAGCAGTGTTTCCCAACCACTGGGCCTGAGTAACTGCCAAGTACAAGTAATCTAGAGCAGTGTTTCCCAACCACTGGGCCTGAGTAACTGCCAAGTACAAGTAATCTAGAGCAGTGTTTCCCAACCACTGGGCCTGAGTAACTGCCAAGTACAAGTAATCTAGAGCAGTGTTTCCCAACCACTGGGCCTGAGTAACTGCCAAGTACAAGTAATCTAGAGCAGTGTTTCCCAACCACTGGGCCTGAGTAACTGCCAAGTACAAGTAATCTAGAGCAGTGTTTCCCAACCACTGGGCCTGAGTAACTGCCAAGTACAAGTAATCTAGAGCAGTGTTTCCCAACCACTGGGCCTGAGTAACTGCCAAGTACAAGTAATCTAGAGCAGTGTTTCCCAACCACTGGGCCTGAGTAACTGCCAAGTACAAGTAATCTAGAGCAGTGTTTCCCAACCACTGGGCCTGAGTAACTGCCAAGTACAAGTAATCTAGAGCAGTGTTTCCCAACCACTGGGCCTGAGTAACTGCCAAGTACAAGTAATCTAGAGCAGTGTTTCCCAACCACTGGGCCACTTGGCCCTCATCTTATAGAACCAAAAATGTGAGAACCACTGGTCTAGATCATTATTAGTAGCAATGGGTGTCAGTACCAACATTCCTGTCAACAGAATGGTTAGGTAACTGGAAAAGAATACAAGGAGGTAACCTGAAGTGTGAAGCACAATAGCTTGAGGAAGATGTGAAGGGGATCAATCCATGGTACTTGATGTTGTTGCTATGCCTAAATACTAATAATGAAGGTATAAAAGCAGAGTAGAGGTAAAACTCCACATATTCTTAACCTTTTCTTCACATTCTAGTTGCTTATTCCCTTGAAAAAGAGTTCCACTGTAAGTGTAGGATAGAAGACTGGGTTGGCCCAGTTGGGGTGGATGTGATGGGCCCCTACTGAATACTGGACCCTGGTTCTCTCCAGTTCATAGCCAGTCATTTTTGAGGTAAACCAGCTAGTTAGTATACTTGGTAGGTATTACAAATGTTGAGGATACCTTTCAGTTCCAGTGTCCATGGGTAAAGTGGAACAGTTAAAATAATATCTTTAGAAAATGTTCTTGGCATGTGTAAAAATTCATTATATATACCAAGAAGGGGAATTCATTTTTCAACTGCATTAACATGAAAAGATTTTAAAATGATGAGGCTGCATATCTAAAACTGTTTGCATAGCATGCAATCATTTGTAAATGTGGCTGTCACTCTTACTTAAATTTAGCACTTGTATATCTGACAGCCCTGAGCAGAATTTGATGCAACATGCAGTACACTACCTATCAGAAACTTAGAGAAGTATTGTCTTAGCTCACCGGACTTGTATTTCAAAGACAAACAGCCATTGCTGCACTATAATACACTCTAATGTACAAAACTGCGTGGTAGAACTTCATCTAAAACATCTTTCAAGGCATGACATACCCTGAGTAGGCAATCTAACAAAAGAAAGAAGTTGTGTGTTCAACGAGATCTCCAGTATGGTGACTTTGATTCCCATTGTGTGTTGAAAATATAATTTAGTAATTTTCTAATAATAATAAAACACTGTACACCACTGTCTGATGACATTCCCTCAAAGCTGTTTTAGACACAGTTCTGTTGTACTTATATATAGTCTGCATGTTTAATGGTCCTTCATATTATATGACTAAAATTCAAATAACCAAAAACAGGCAGAAATAAACAGTAGTTTGTCTCCCAATGTCTGTTCTTGTTCACTTTGCTGAATTTCAAATTTTCTCTCTATTTAACCCCTTCAGTGGTGATTTAATATTTGATTCATGTTCCTATACATACAACATACAATGCTACTGCATCCACAAAGCTTGACAAATGATTCCAGATGGTACTGCCATCTTCTGAGTAGCATTAAGAATTACATGCAAAAACCATCACACAGCCTGGAAAAACATTAGGATGTAACAAACACTGTATAGCACTGAGCACAGAAGTTTTCCAGGAGATACTGATGGGATGAGAGGACAAATTGTGGAAAAGGTCCTGGAATACCACTGAAAGGTTTAAATACATTTTATACATGTTAAATCCACAGCCATCTTTTTGATTGCTAGGAAGTAATTTCCAGCTCAGTTCTCACAAGAATGTTATACAGAGAAGGGAGAAGCCCCCACACCGACCCTTTCAATCAGCTGGAAATATACTTCCTACCATACATTCATGGGAAGCACAGTGCATGTATTTACCATATTCCAGTCTAATTATATGAAATAACTAAATGTAAATGAGTATAAATTGAAAGTAAAGTAACCAAATGTATTAAGTTGACTCTTCAATTTCATTATCATCTGAACTGCATGCATCCTAAATACTTCAAAGTCACAATGTTACAAAATGTTAGAAAGTATTTTATAAATACAGAAACAAACTCAAAATGAGATTCTTCTGAATTATGACACTGTGTAGTTTCATAGGTGGTATCTGAAGATGGAGGCATCAAGTTCCTTTGAAATGCTGCTATCCTCTATGAACCTTCATGATGTTACACCTGTAACACCACAACCTTAATTTTCACTACTATGAAAACCTCAAATCTCAACCCAAAAGCAAACTTTTAGAGAATATGTTATGATTATCTGTTTACAATCCTATGTACAAGTCTGTACAATACATTAACCATATTACTACCCAGCCCAGTGCTGGCTATTTAGAAATTTGTATACAGGCCTTTATGCTCAAGATATGAAGTAGATAGCCTTGAAAATCAATCATTCTGGATGACAGTGCTAGCTTTTAACAGATGCACATTTCTGAAGTTTGGCCAACACACCATAGAACAACCTGTATATTGACAAATCCTACAGTCTTAGCCAGGAGGATGTAGACCATATAAGTACATGCTTTTCAAGTGGATACCGATTTTCTGGCCCATCCAGTTAACAAAGGTTATGAAATATGACCCTCAAAGTGAAAAGTGTGTTCATTTCTGGAATAAAAGAAAGTACAAAATTTATCCTATGATTTTAGTACATATCTGCACCATGTTCCAAACACCTTTCCAAAGACTGTCATTTAGTGATTTCTTTCTTAATTTCTACACAAAGTGCAATATTTTCCAGTAATTCACACCAAACTCCAAACAGATAATCTGTTATTTAAAAAAGATGTTCCCTAACAGATATAACCCATCAAGGAAACGGCCAGCATGGGTGCAGCATAATTCAGGCACAAAAATCTGACATTATTAAGCCTCTCCTGACCTACATGGTCAAAAACATTATGTAAAATTGTTATTCCCAGTTTCAACAATCGAAAGTGTTTCAGTTTTCATCCAGTCTCCTAATGATGTCTGTTGGAGCACTAACATATCTCTAGATGCTCTGCAAAACTGTATGTCACAGGTGTATTTCAGTTATGTACTATATACTGTTTGTGAAACAATAATGTAAAATTGGGGGTCAGGAGGGGGCTATGCCTATTCTTCAGATTGCTCTCTACATATTACTAAGTTTATTACAAGGAAATATGTGATTATATATAAAGTGAATACAAACCAGTATAAATATTGTACAAAGGCAAATTGAAAAGTCTTTACCCCTATTTTTTTTCAGCCAAAATATTAGTGTGATTGAGTAACCAGGTTATACATTCCATGCAACAGGGTATGCTTGGACCGGCTCAGCATTAACTCTCAGCTGCTACGTGGCACTGCGCAGCTGTCAGTCAGCGAAGATGGCTGGTGTGCTCAACACATCCACGTCATATGAGCAGCGAAGTGTTATTCGTTTTCTATAGAGCAAGGGACAAACGCCCATCGAGATCCATAGGGAAAGACAGCCGACATATGAGGACAAATATCTTGCTTTGAAAAGTGTGTGGTGGTGGTGCTGTGAGTTCACTAATGGCCAGAAAGACCTTAATGACAATGAGCGGTCAGGGTGGCCTCACACCTCGCTCACACCAGACAACATTGCCTGCGTGGATACGATGGCGAAAGCAGATCAGCGTGTGCACCTGAAGGTCATTTCCAAGGAGCCTGGCATTTCGTATGGCAGTGTTTACAGTATCATTCGCGATTCCTTGGGGTATCGCAAGGTTTCATGTCAGTGGGTGCCTCAGCTGTTGGATGATCTGAACAAGGCCAAGAGAATGATGACATCACTGCAACATTTGCAGCGTTACTCCGGGAAGGGCGAAAGTTTCCTGTATCTCATTGTCACCAAAGATGAAACGTGGGTATTGCATTTCACTCCAGAATCCAAGCAGCAGAGCATGGTGTGGAAACATCCTGGTTCGCCCATCACAAAGAAATTCTGCAGAATGCTATCCATCGGGAAGTTGATGGTCACGGTCTTCTGGGATCGCCGAGGACCACTCCTGCTGGATTTCATGCCACGAGGTGCCACCATCAACGTGGACAGCTATTGTGACACACTCGCACATCTGCGAGCTGTCATCAGGAAAAAGCGCCCGGGGATTCTCATGGATGATGTGGTTCTCCACCATGTAGGCCTCATGTGGCAAACAGGACCGCCTCCCGACTTCAGCCATTTGGATGGGAGATTATGGAGCATGCACCGTATAGTCCAGACCTCATCCCCAGTGATTACCATGTATTCAGTCCACTGAAGAAGTTCCTGGCAGGCCAGAGGTTCATTTCCAAAGACGTGAAAACCGCTGTTCAGCAGTTCAGCAATGGTTCCGCGCTCAATTGGCCAAATTCTACAACAGCAGCATCTTCAAACTAGTGGTGCGATGGGACAAATGCCTGAACCGAGGTGGTGACTATGTGGAAAAATAGTCAAAGGTACTTAGAACACTGCCTGTATTTTGATTTCCTTGTATGTGTATTATCGTGGCCGAAAAAAATTGGGGCAAAGACTTTTCGATTTGCCCTTGTATCTTACAATTATTGTTTCCTTAGCCCCAGTGTAAGTACAAATTACAACTGCAATATAGCAATGTCATTTCCACTAATGAAATGATATAAAGTACAACTCACACTTTTGTGTACAGCCAAAACTTCTACAATTGAATACAATCAAGCCTCCATTTAATGTTCCTTATTTTCTGCAGTTCCCTCATTCAATGTTGAATTTCAATTATCCAAAATTTATAACTTAAATCTTAAATTTCCTCCATTTAAGATTTTCCTTGTTTCAGTGTTCAAATCCACTGCCCCCTCCAAAAAAATGTTTAACAGGAGCTTCACTGTATTTAAAAAGAGCTAGCTTAAAAAACACAACTCTATATTATTGTATATACATTTTCCTACATGGTATATCTGTCAGTAGAAAGTTCATGATTAATGAGTGTTACAATATTTAGTTTCTTATGTGTTCCCTGGAAATTGAGCAGTTAACCAGACTCTAACATCAGGTATCTTTGAATTAATATACATATATGTAGTTCTAGTGCCTCCAGGTATAATTTGTTGTGACCCTTCTGGCTTCTACCCACCTAGTCAAGGGTGCAGAATCCATTCTTTGGACGGGGCACCTGTAAGGCAGATTCTGATACCCCCCAGTGATAAGGTAATCATGAGAAAGATAATCAGCAGATGGGAACCACAGCTCAATGTGTGCTCCAAACTAAGAAGAAGTGTCTCATATTTTTCACATTTCCAAAGATTTTCTTTTTAATCTTGGGTAAAGTTTTCAGTCTACACACAGGCTGGATCCGGGATTGAAATCTCAATGTTCTGAATGAGAATCCAAAATCTTACACCCCAGAACAACCAATTCCTCAAGCATCTTTGAGGTCAGAAAATTAAATCAAATCTAAGACATGTTTCTACTTTTGATATAAAAGAATATACCAAGAAGGGTAAAGGTAAGGTTCCCATGTTTACAAAAATCATGAAGACACATATGAGTGGGAGCAAAACTCCATACATTCCTCATCTTGGCTCTGGATATATGTGAGTGGTCAGCTTTGTGCTCTGTCCAGTATACCCTCAAGGAAGGAGTCCGCAGAAGACATTGGATAGTCCCCAGAGCTGGTCTGTGCATAGCAGCAAAGAGAAAAATCTTGCTCGGCTTAGTAACATTTAACCCACACCCAGTCCATTTATTTACAAAAACTATCCTAGTTCACCAAAAAAATAGTTCATGTCAACATAGTCTATATTGAAGTTACAGGCGCATGTTAGAAACAATGATAAAATATTAATCCAAAAGCACACCGTCTGATTACATCTATTCACTAACAGTACTGACATAAAGTTAACACAAAAATTTCAAAACAAATGCCTCAAAATTATTTCAAAACCTCTGTACAGATATGTATATAGTCTGTTGTCCAGTTAAATAAACTGACTCAATCCAGTGACAAAATGTAAAGTTACCTGTCTGTAGCATGACACAACATTTAAGGTCATATATTCACACTTTATCATCTTAGTTCTTTATACAGGATGTAAGAATAGCTCTGCCTAGAGTAAGAATATTTTCCCCCCCCCCCCTTTGAAGACATAAACAGAACCTGCTTCTGAAACTTTTTGGTTTTAGGCAAAGGATAGAAGATAGATAAAGTCCAAAT